AATCGAATGGCAAAGAAATACCTATCGACGTATCGACATCAAAGCTCGCTCTCGCGCGGATGTTATACACTCCACCTGTGTCTGTGTGTACGCGTGTGTGTCGCTAGGTATATATGAAGAGCAGACGAACGAGAGACCTAAATAGACTTGATATATGTCACCGGAAAGCCTGGACAGATGCGACAACAAATAGACTGCCGGCGGATTTGCTATATACCTACATATATTTCTCGCCTCGCTTCCGATCGAGCTTTCTTCATGTTTTCGATAACAAGGCTCTGAGATATAGAGAGCAGATTGAATGCTCAACGTAAGCCTAGTTGTGTCACCACCAGTAAAAATTGTCCGCCTTCCTTTGCAGACCTCATTCGATGTGTCATATAGCTCCACACTGACGTATTCAATTGATTTGCCGACTGCATGCTTCCCTAATTCTAAGAAGATTCAATCAAGCTTGCGACCAATGAAGATGTATTCTTTAACAAATTTAACAAAGTCAAAGCACAATACCTCCCCAAAAAATACCTGACTTGACCAAAAAACATCAACACGTCAAAATAGGATGCCAGGAGAAAAAAGCTAGAACAACGAAAATCAATGCTGTCAAGATGTAAAAGGATAAAGTGAATTATGAATGCGTAAAAATAGGGAGGAAGTAAAAATAGTTGTAAGTATAAACCGGCAAAAAGCCGGTCGAAAAAAAAAGAACAAGTAAAAACGAGGCAGCTGTGCGCGCGCGCGCGCGTGCGCTTGGGGTGGGGAAGTTTTGGTTTATGTCGATAAATCAACGTCAAGCCAGGCAGCGCGCGAGGTTCTCGTACTGCCGCTGACAAGCGCAACAACGCTACATTTACGTCTATTATCTGCTCTTTTAAGCGATATGATCCTGCACTTTTTAGCTGGCTTTGTGTTGATTAAACCGCATCGTTTTTCTCTCTTGCTTACGTGCTATTCTCTTCTCTCGTATTGTCTTTTTCAATTCTCTTTTTTTTTCCTTTTCATCGCGCACGTTTCATTCAAAGTCACGGGCGCGCTTGAAAGGCACTCGGTCAATAACGATGAGAACTGCCGCTCAAATTGCACCCCCGAAAAATTTGCAGCCACCTTCCGTGCCATATTTTTAAGGCTAATTTCGCTTGCCGAATCGCCTCGGATTGTTGGATCTTTCAAGCGAATCTTCCCTAACTTCGCTGGTTTTTATGTGGCGCACCTAATATTTCAGCGCTGTACTCGTCTGTCAGTTCGAATAATTCAAAGAAAGAACGCTCTTTACCTAGAACAATAGTTTTATATTCTATCAATATTTACGCCCGAGCTCGGGGATTTTAATAATTCCGGCAACGAAGCATGTATCATTAATCAAACGCGAATGGAATATACAAGCCGATTCCTCCAAAAAAGCTTTGGCATCAAAATGTGCAGCGGACGGTTGGAAAATACCGGTTATTCTGTATTTTACAAAAGCCATTTTAGCACAGCAGCACTTTACAAAATTTTACCATCAGCCTGCCCAAAGCACTCTTGGCGATGTGGGGCGACAGTTTGCGAGAACAGTCTTCAATTTTCGCGCTAAAAAGCACGCAGTCATCGAGATATTCTATGTGACAGCGACTTAGGCGACTCGTCGAGTTCTGAATGAAGAAAAAACGCATGCATGCGAAACAGAAGAGCGACGACTGCGACGCGCCGCATGCACGTTGGTGTATGTGTGTGCTTGCGCTCGTGTGCGCTGATACAAGAAGACGCGAGAGAAAGAGCGAAGAAGACAGGACAGGTCAGTATGTATTATTCATGCAGCGGGGCGGCAAGCTGGTCGATAACGTCCCACCGGATTGAATTTGCATTTCAAGACGTATCGGAACGGCGAGCGCCCACCGCCGAACTATGGAATTGGCACACACACACACACACACTCACTCTCTCTCTCTCTCTCTCTCTCTCTCTCTCTCTCTCTCTCTCTCTCTTATACTTACACTAAAGCGCGAAATCGGTACGCCGCCCTGGATATTCGTCTCGATCCAATTTCTCGATAGGTACAAGAGGACTTTCGAGCTCCCCTTGTTTTCATAACGTTTTTCACTCTGCCCCTGCGCCTTACACCTGTCCTAGGCATTTTCTCTCAATCTCAAATCACGACAGAGAGAGAAAGAGATTCGTTAGAATGTAGTTTTATTTTTCGTTGAATTAATCACATGTAATGGGATTAGGTCAAGTGTCACGAGAGCATTTTTAATTGGGTGCTCGTTTTAAATTAGTTAGAGACCTCTTCGTTATTATGCTTTACACTAAATGACCTACTAGAGATTTTTAATTTTTCTCATTTACTCTTACTTCGTGTTACATAAATAATATATGTTTCAATAATTGTTTCCATGAATTAAATTATAGTTTTTATAATAGTTATTTAACTTTACTTTTACGAGAGATTTATTAAAAAATGATTTGATTATTTAAAATAATCCAAGTAAATGTTACGAATGAAAGTTACAAAAAACGAAAATGTAATGGACAAATTCAAATCATTTTTTTTAAATAATAGAAAAACTAGTTAAGAACTAGAAAATTTATAGTTATAAAATGTAAAGTGTATATAAAGTGTAAGTGTAAAGTATATTAAAATTTATATAAAATACATTAACGTCGCTTATTACTGTTATTGTTTTTCGGTAATGTTATTTCTCGATGAATTTTGTATTCTCCTGTTCCCTGTCACAACTTCTAGGATAGGTAAATTTGATGTTCTTTACTTTTGCCTCATAAGTTTTAATTAAATTTAATCTTTTAAAAAATTTTAATTTAGTGAAAGTAAACGATGGTAAAACTTTATGCAAATATGCTACTTAACGTAGACTTGTGTTTGGAACGTTTATCATCTTTTTTAATCAAATAAATTTTGAGTTTTGTGAATTATAGGCCAAGTAAATGCTTGAACAAGCTTCCAACGAAAATATTTTAGCAGAACAAAATGTTAATTTGTTTTGAAATTTAAATGTGTATTGATGAATGAGTTTGTACGAAATTCATGTCTACTTAATAGACGAACTTTAGATGAAATCTTGACAAGCCTTTATATAGTATTTTTCGTTACATACAGCTTCTTTTCTTCATTATCTCAATATTTAATGAAACGAAAACTGCTCCATCTAAACTTCTGAGTTGGCCAAGAGCTTTTATATATGCTTAGTGCACTCTAAAGTTTTCATATAAAGATTGGCGAAAAGACAATCATGGTTCGTTTCAAGAAAATTAATAATACATTTGTCGAGGCATAGTCATTGCGAAAGCGATATGAATACTGTTCACGTTAAAATGTAAAAATCCGAGATAAAATCGTGCAAAAAACGCAACGTGGAAAAGAGAAAGAAAAGGAAAAGAGCGTGAAAGAGAGTGAAAGCTGGACGAAAAAGAGAGAAGCGGGAAGCGCTGGAGGAGTAGGCGGCAAGGGAAATTAAAAGTTGTAAATACGAAGAGGTGCTGGGGAGCGCGCTCGTAAATTCAGCAAATTAGTATCAGGCAGTGGGCGAGACGCGTATATAGATATATATATATATCTGCTGGCCGCAATGAAATTCTCTCGACTAGCTGGGTCGCCGCCGCCGCGCGCTGCAGCTCTCGCGGAAAAGAAAAGTGGCCACGCGCGTGCTGTATAACTGTACTGCCGTTGCCAGCTGGGTATCGCCAAGTTGAGTTTACACCGCAGCGGTGCAACTTCTCTGGCACGCCACTCTCTGTGTCTCTCTCTCTCTCTCCCTCTCGCGCGCGCGCGCGAGTTGAGCGCTCCTCTTTCCTTGGCGCTTTCTCTTTCCGTTATTATATCCGAGGGTGTGCTTGCATGCATGTGAGGCTGAAGATGCGGACGTAAACCGTCTAGGTTGCGTGCAGCGCGCGAGCCGAGAATAATCGCTCTTTTTAAAGAGAGATTCGTCGCGCAGGGTGGACGGGGGGGGGGGGGAGGGCTCGGCTGATCGATGTGACTGCTTTTAAACTGCCATAAAAATAAGTCAGCCATTGCCTAGGCTTGCGCTTGCCATAACTTTTTTCATAAATAACCAGAGCCAGCCACCCGAGCAACAACACCCCCGGGATAGCTTTCAGTCTATACGGCAGGCGCAAGCCCAGGCTTCGCAGTCTCTTTGACTGCCACTACTGTTAACGATATTCTACATTTTTCAAATAATTTTTGCAACACCATGTTGTAAAATGCCGCACCGCTGTTAGTTAAATATTATTATGCTGCTGCCTTTTGCAGTTTTGCAATGTTTATAGGCAAAGTTATAAAATTTCGATATCAAGCGCGCGGGCAGTTTATTAAATGGTTATGTCATTTCATAAAATTTTATTCACTTAAACTCTCTAGAAGTTCATTATTCACTTGAGTTCATACAATATTTACTTCCCGATAATGTCATTCGTCAACATTAGCTGGAATTGATACCATCGGACAATTACATTACGTGATATTAGAATAGCGTTTTTACTCTAACATGAGCAGCGAACTTTCAATTATCATTAAGTATTTATTATAATACCTGCTAAATTGATGTAATCATCTAAGAATTTTGCACTGACTTTGTTACAATTAGAAAATAGATGAGACTGTACCGAAAGAAAAGTAGTATAGTCTCGTTATGATCAGCCAGCATATTGGTCAGTCCTTGACATTAATCTTAAAGAAAAATATAGTACAAATGCTTAATCAGCAGCATTTGCGAAAAAATGATATATACTTGACCATTACACTGACAAAAGTATATTACTCACATTACGGTTTTATTGTAAATAATATATATACGACAGCCCATACTTCATGGCAGCTCTCACTTATAAATAAACTGGACGGTAACTTGGTCTTTGGTTCTTTTGTTTTATTGCGACTCAATAAAGATGAAAAAATATTAGACATTTCGTTATTAAAACAACAGTCATCATTGTTATTAACGGTTATTGGATTATGCGATTAAGAACAGTTTAATTAATTGAAACATCCTTATATAGTTCATTCTAAATTTTATTAGTACATTGGTATATACATAATATAGGAATGTTACAGCCATCATTAACGATATTTACACATAAGTTTCGTGTAAAAATACAGCAGCCATTTTCTGTATATAATTAGATCGGCAATTTATAATATGACTACGTTAAAAAAAAGTCGAATATGACTTCTTCAACTTGTTCGTTAGATTGAATTAACAGAGAACTTTTACAAACATATCCTTTTTACAATTAAAAAAAACATTCTGCACATCTTTGCATGAAAAAACCATTCATAACATGTTAACAAGACTTGGTCTGTGGCTTAGAAAATAAGTCTTGCGTAAATGAATTCAAATTAAATAAGATACGCAATTACATGAAAGTTTAAGCTGTCGATGAAAGACTAAAATTGTCAAGTATGCGTTAAAAAATTAATAAAATGGAAGACCAGTCACAATGGTATACTTTAAAAATCAAAAGAGTAATAATATTTTTATTTAGTAAAAGTTTACAGGCGCAAGTCAATTTACTTTGCTTTTATAATAAATTCAACAAAAATGTCTAAATAACATTTTTCGGTAATCTCGCATCGGCTTAAATAGTTTTCATATATTTTTGTTCGATATTACTAAGTTAACAACAAACTATTCAATATTCATCGTGGTTACAACAACAGTGAAATTTTTCAAGACAACCTATTGATATAATCATACCATATCATCCTACTATATCAATAAGCGTAGCTGCAACTAAAAGAATTTGCTTTAACACTAGCCAATCAAAGATTAATAAATAATCAAGTAAATACGATTTGTTTCACTTATAAACAATTATGAACAAAAAGTATTAAATTGCAATTTTCGCAGATATCACGAGAAATTGCATCGGAGCTGGGTAGTACTTAGACTCATTAAATTCATGAAACTAAATCCGTTTAACGAAAAATGTCAACTGAAAAAGGATCAACATTTATTTATCACTAACTATATTGTTAACAAGTTAGTAGTAATTTACTAGTAGAAACAGCACCAATTAATATTTCACTTATAGATAATACATACAAAACATTGTCGTTTTCAGTTCACATTTTATCACGTTCACTAAAGTTCTAGTACTTCGCAGCGTCGACGATACAAGTAATATAAACAATAATGTTATTGTCTTAACTGAGAAAGTGATGATGACTGTTAGGTTGATTATATTCATCATGACAGATCTAGCGATAATGGCATGAGTAGTGAGAAAAAAAAGTTAAAAGTAAAAGCGACAATAATTTTAAATTTGAAGCGGTATTTACGATTATATTTGTAAAAAATGTAAATTAAATAGAAATCATGCTAAAAGTTACTAATTCATACTGAAAATTAAAAGTCTAGTTATGTGATTGGTGGATTTTCTTTCGACAGCGTGATTTACATATTGTAAATGTTAATCCAAAAATTAATCGCAATAAAAAATTTCAGCTGCAAAGAAACATATTATCGATTGAGTGCCCTAATCTCGATAAGTTTAGATACAGTTATTTACAGCATCACAAAAATATGAATATGAGTGTTTAGCGACTAAGCAAACTATCGCTTCGTTAAAGTCGAACGTTTGCCTCGCACCCATGGCAAAATGGCTCGCTTTTCTCGTTCTTTAGCTCTCACTCTATCTCTCGTTCTACTAGCGCACACATAGCTCCTCTCCTGCTTTATATTCAAATTACGTTTAGTTTGCGCATATTTACATGCATGAGTTGTATACCGACTTCGTGGCTCGTACGTCCGTCTTTAGGAATTCGTGGCTGCAGGAACCATATCAGTAAATAAGTGAAGATTCTCCTTGCAAACTTTGTAGCTCTCTCTCTCTCTTTCTCTTTTTGCTCTTTCAAGCTTGTCACGTGATTTCAACCACATATGTTTATTCATATTCTTATCTTTATGTACATTTACGAAAAACTCAGGAGAAATGTTCACGCGTTGGACTGAATATTAAAAAGAAATTTTAAATACAAAAGGTATCAATCAGCTTAATGAAATTGACCTCGCTATCGCGTACGAAGGTTTAAATTGAACCAATTTTTTTTTGTCAGTTTATGTTGTTTGTTATTTAGATACATTCACATATGGGTCATGAGGATAGAAGGCAGTGTTTTCGAATGACTTGCACTGACACATGTAGTTTAATCTGCTCGAGCAAATTCCTAATTATATGCTTGATCCCTTTCCGATAATCGCCCTCGACTTCTATTGTGGTATTACCTACAACGTACGATCTCGCTAAGGAGCCTTTACGAAAAATTATTTATATTTACATTTCTATAAATGTATTTGTATGTTATTCTTTTCTTCATAAATTTCTGCGGAACGATAGTGTTTTAGTCTCTTATTACTTAGACATTCTTACGATCGCGAGCGTCATTCCAAATGAGTTCGGATTTTTTAATTCAATTTATATTACAATGACCATTTTTATATAGCGCTAGGAAACATTTTTAATTGCAGATTTTGCATTTGAAGCCGTTCAGGCCAGACGGCTTTCACATCTTAATAACAATAAAAATCCAATTGTTAAAAAAAAAATTGGATTGTACAAGAAGATAGCCAGTCATAAAACTGCGAGTATACCATTAGTCTATAAAACTTCATTAAACCTTTGCGTAGATGGCCTGAATTTTATGACAGATTGGAAGAAGCGCACGCGAAAATTGCCAATACTCAACAGCACGTAGAAGTGAAACACTTAGCTGACCGGTGTAAGTTCTGACTAGTCAATTAAGTACATATTTGAAGAAAACAGCTAATGAAGAAAAAGAAAAAAACTCTATTGTAGCACAAGAAACTGTGAACAAAAGAAAAAAGAACCGAAGAAGTCGCAACGGAAAATAGTAAAGTAAGTCTTGTGATGCACGTTTTGAGAGAAGACTCAAAAGATGCTTTCCTCGTTCACAGCGGCAGTAGTTGATTTCGAGAGAGAACGAAGACTTTAGCCCCGAGGGTAAAAGAAAAATCCTCTCTGTCAGCGAGTAAAAATAAAGAGAGGGATAAAGAGAGTCCTACTAGGACTTGTCTTTTCGCTTTCGCTCATCGTCGCGCTCAGGAACGTGTTTTGAATCGTCTAACGAGGCTCGCGCGCGAAAAAATCACAGTAAACATTATATACAAAAAGCGCACGCGAGCGAGCTCCTCTTCGGAGGCTTCACGCGACTACCTTATATATTTATACCTCATTCATTCAATAACGACACTACGGTCTCATGCAATAGGGCACTGGCAGTATTTAACGAGTCGATCAGTACACATTTTGTTTTGATAGAGTTTATAGAGTTGCCGTACTGGCAGGGCATTCTTATCTCGCATTTATTCAACTGCTGTTAGTTTGGCTTTGAAAGCACAAAACAACACTGCTGACGCAAGCATTCATTTGATATGTGATCGCCAACAATTCTTGACAAGGGAACGTTAAAACTTGTCAAAAGTTTTGCAAAACTTCGGAGATGATTATCGAGGTCTACTCACAATGGGCCATAAAGATGTGCAAAATATAATTTCTCATGGATTCAAGAGCGAGCGATCGAGTTGTTACACTGTACAAGTTGGAAGACTTCGGAAGAAGTCGAAACGCGTGAGAAGCGGAAAAACTTATCGTGTCGCTCGGCAAGCTCGAAGAGGAGGCAAAAAAAACATCCAAACTAGCAGCAGTCGGGCAAAGTTAGTGAAAGTCAAGCTAAAGCTCAAACAAGAACACGAACGACGCGTGGCGAGGAGGAATAGCAGTAGTAATAGCGAACTCTATCGTGGGGATGCGTCGCCCGTGTGGGCCGACCTCGCGCGATCACGTGTCCGAGAAGAGGAACTCGCTCTCCGAGAGCAGCACTTCGAGGTCCGAGGGCACGGTGTGCAGGTCCGAGTTGGCGGGCTCGGCAATACACGACGCCTGGCTCAGTTTCGACGACGCCCTGCTCGATAATTTGGCCTTACTCTTCTTGTCTCTCTTGGCCTTCTTGTCGGCTACCGTGCGCACCAGCACTCCTGTCCTTGGTCCCGGATTATTGCAACAACCACCGCCACCACTGCCGCCACCGACGTTGGCTCTCGCCGCCGCTCCACCGGTCAGCGTCTTATCGCCCTTACGCAGCTTCACCGTGAACTTGAACGGTGGCTTGTACACCACCTGCAGCCTTAGTCTCTCATTTTTTGCGGCCAAGCTGTTGCCTGTGGTTGCTCCTGCTATCACTGCTGCCGAGCTGTCGTTTCTCGTCAGGTTGGTCGCGCTGCGCGACTTCGAGCCGGTCAGTCTTTTCAACGTTACTGGTCTGAAACATTATCCGTGCAAGTTTTTCATTTTCTTTTTTCTGATGGACATTCTCGATTGGTTAAAAAGTGTCTTTCAATGTCCAACGATAGGTAATTACTTTGTAGGAGAGCATAAAAATCAGGCGCGTGCTCACGGCGTCCACGGAAACAATTCAGCTTTAGAAAATCAGAATATAATCGTATTATCTATTTAAACTCTAATTGAGTTTCAGTCGAAAAAGCTTCGCGAGATATTAAAAATGTAATGGATCGCGAATAGAACCGACGAGGACTTACGGTTGCGATCAGCGCAGCTTGGAATTCAGCTAATAGAAGCATTTTTAGTGCGCTTCAATTCGTCTCGATTGAAAGGCAATGCGAATGAATAAATGACGTGACGCGCAGCGTGAGAAGCAGGTCGTGGAACCTGTTTGGCCATTAACGAGAGCACTGACAATGAAAAGAACAAACCGTGTGTTATTGTTGCGGTTAACCGGTGGAGGTCGAGGCGGTAGGCCAGCCACGGGATTGGCTTGCAGATTAACGGGGCTGGATTTGCTTTTGGGCAGAGCGGCAGGCGGCGCGTCAACGCGGCAGTGCGAAGCGAGCAGCCACGAGCGCACTTTACTCTTGGGATCGGCGCCACTGGAGCCGGACCCACTGATCACCGCCACCGCCGTCGGAGTTGTCACGTTGGCCGGCGTCGCCTCGGCCGCTTTGTCGTTGCCGCTCGTCTGCGCGGCCGAATAGTCGATCACCTCCTTCTTCTTGCGCTGTTGCGCCAGCTGCTGCTGCTGCTGCTGCTGCTGCTGCTGCTGCTGCTGCTGTTGCTGCTGCTGCTGCTGCTGCTGCTGCTGCAGTTGCTGTTGCTGTTGCTGCGACTGTGCTTGCGCTTGCGACGACGACGTCTTTTTCTTGTCCTTGGGCGCGCGCTTCATTAATTGCTGCAAAGCCGAAGTCTGTTGAGTCGCATCCGCCGTGCTAACTAATACGCCGTCTTGCCTCTTGCGAGCAGCCTCCTCTGGGGCTGCTGACGCGGCTACCACTGTGGCAATTGCCTGGGCAGCTGCTACTCGTTTTCGTTTTGCCTGCAATCGTACCAGACAATTTTCATCGATTAATTCCGAATTATACGAAGCGAACAAGTCCGTCGCATCGATTGTTCGAGAGACAATGTTTCCGTTTTGTAATAAATTAGTAATAAATCTGAAATGGACAGTGGTGAAGGTTTGATTTTGATTTTGCGGAAATTCATGTCGAGATTGAGTTTATGAAAATCGACAGTGACAGCGCGTGTCACGGAATATTCGCCGAAAGGCTTGAAAGCCAGCAGCCATCAATAAACGAGCGCAGGAGGGGACTCGACATAACTAAGATATAGCCGGGTGCTGTACGAATGCTCCGTCGGAGCGTGAAAAGAGAGGCAGATCGATTCTGGTCACCTTGGATGACTTGTCGTGTGTTTGGGCATCCTTCTTACGCTTGGGTCTGCGTCGTTTCTCCCTTACTTTCTTGCTGAGGGGCAGCTTGGCCCTGACCGCCGGCGGGTGAACCGTCACCCCCTCCGCCCCCTCTGGCGGCAGACGCACCGTCTCCGTCGTCGAGCTGTGGATTATCGTGACCGACTTGAGCTTCTTGCCCGGCCTTTTCCGCAAAAATTTGGCGCTGATCACCTGCGAAATGACAGTTTATTTGCGTTTACACCGTGCAGTCTGGATCGAGCGTAGCTCGGCTTTCCCCACAGATACTTTTACTCTGTTCTAGCCAAGCGGCAGTGGCGAAAGCTCGGCCGAGGCGGATACCGCGCAACTATTAAACGACTATTAAACGACTTGCTGTTCGTACCGCGATGCACTGCAATAATATTAGGACGCATTAGAGAAACGCGAATGATAGTTTGAAACTCGAAGATGCGGGCTTTCGGGCTGATGCTTGACCCAGTTCAGCCGAGACGGCTGAATGATTTATACCGCGGCAATTGACTTGTTCGACATCCAGATTTCACTGCACCGACAAGAAATCCGTAGCTCGGCGATGAATTTGCCAAAGACAAATAACGAGCTCTGGGCCGAATGGGGCGTCTTGCTTTAAGGATATACGAAGCGCGTCCGTCCGCGAGAACTTGTTGCACCGCGAGCATTATAATGGTCGCGCAAACTAGCTGTACTATGGCATAACGAGCGCAGCTAGCGGCGAGGACGACGCGACTCGACGAGGCGGAGCCCGCATTCTCCGACGATCCGACAACTCGCGTTATTGTTACCATTTGTAGGAGAATGAGGAAGGCACATTTACAAGTACGCATGCATGACCAGTGGAGCGAGTACGCAGGCCGTTCAGCGGACTTCAATTAGCTTTTCAACGATTCAACGTTTGTTCGGCAGTAAGCTACTGGAGCACTTGATTAAACTCACTATTGCAATTAACGTTAAGACTTTTATCGTCGCACTTGCTCGCCTTCTCCTGCTTCTCGTTGCTCCTGCAACGCCTCTGCCAGCGGCGAAGCGAAAGTATCTCATGAGTGACATGCGAACGCTCGTCGAATATTTGAACGGGTGGCGCCTGAACGGTTGGCATTTGAGGGCACCGCGAACGCAATGGACGATATACTCACCAGAATGGAAATAGTGACGACGACGATGAGGGTGGCCGCGTACCAGTGCTCGATGATCCAGCGCCGGAAGGTGGCGATGCTCTCGTCGGAGAGCAGCAGCTTCCTGAGTGTGGCGAGCGGTCCGCTCGGGTCGACCTCGCGGCACTTTTGAAAGACGTCGCAGTAGCCGTTGTAGTCGTTGCAAGGCGTGCCCGGCTTAGCGAACATATCCGGGATGTCGTAGGGCGGCGAGTTCCAGTCGAACGACGAGCTGCAACATTCGCATGAATGAGAGCCGAGTCGTAGTCCTGCCTCGAGCGGCAATCAGCCGAGGAACGGCGCGCCGAAGACTGCGCGGACGACGGAAGAGCGATCCTCGAAATTGCTCGGCCCCACTCGGCCCGCTCTCAATGCCCGACTGTGTACCGGCTGCCGCGCGACCAAAGACCGCCGAGCTAGGCAAACGCTCTCCTGCACACAAAGTCACGACGTGTGCTTAGTCGGAGAAATTACTCCGTCGACTGCTGCACAACCGTCGTCGGCGATGCTCGAGCCACTTCTTTGTTCGCCTCGCGCACTTCGGACAAATCGCCGGAACGACTTTTCCGTCCACGCTACGCGAGCGGAGCAAAACACACGCGACGTGTGTTGATCGCCGCAGTCTCCGGAGAACATTTCACTTGACGTCAACGTACTTTTAAAGAGCCCTGCGCACTCGTGCGAGTTTATTTACTCGAGACCGTGATTTTTCAGCGCCCGGCTCCCCACCGAGACCTTCGTCGCCGCGTTAACTCTGCTGCGAGTGCAACGCATTTTTATTTTCCTTCCGCTTCGAAACGAAAAAAAAAAATTACTCGAAAACAAGCGAGTGTACCGCGAGCTTTAATTGGCATTTTTATTGCAGTGGGCGAGATGACCTACTTCGACAACTCGTGGCAGACAGAAAAATTCATCATGACGCGAATCGCTCGGCATGAATAGTTAGAAGCCAGCCTCCGATGGATGTGAAAAAAAAATCCAATAAAGCTGCGCTCGTGCGCCACACTGGCTTGGGACTCTTTGCTGGCGCTCGTCGAAAAGCGAAAAGCGACACGTACGCCTTTTCTTTTTGCACGGAATCCTCGCAGCGGCAAAATCGCGATCCGCAGTAAGTCTGCTCGTAACGAGCGACTTCTTTATCTGGGAGGCCACATTTCATAGCAATCCGGCGCGTCTTGGCATCCGGCAGCGAACTTGAACTGAACGGAGAGGCAAGAAGAAAAAAGCGGTAACTGACTGATCGGCTGTCTGCAGTTTGCGAGTTGAAAAATTGCCAAACTACCCCCGCGCGCGCGCGCGCGTTCTCTCTCTCTCTCCTCTGACGCGCGCGACGACGTCTCGCAGATACATCCGATCCAAGTACAAACACTCCGAGAACACGAGCAAGACGCTTTAAGCCGTGGAAGCACCGCGCCGGAAACTTCTTCCTTCTTCGGCGGCGGCAACTGACGGCCGGAGATAACTCGATGGAGGGATTCGACGGCCACTCTATAGCGAACGGAACCGTACTAGCACGCTCGGACTAACCGGATTCGCCAATTTATCTAATTATACAAAAGGAAGATTCGCCCTTCCCCTCCCTCTCCCCTATTAGCTGTTCTTCGCTAGCTTTACGCTGTACACGCCGCGCCAGCTTCTATCATTCTCTTTCTGTGTAAGCTCTAATCAACTTACTCGCGCAGCAAATGCAGCGAGAGCGAGAAAGATAGAACGCAGCTCGTCCTCGTAGTCGTATTATTCCCCGGGGAATTCGATTAAATTGACACAAGTTCCCTTGTCCCTCACCCGCTCTGCTCTTCATTCTCTCCCTCGATATGCAATTTGACGAACGCTTTCTCAATCTACTTCTCTCTGTCCTCCTTCAAAGGACTCTCCAGACGTCGTCTCTTTCTTCTCCCACGAGCCACCTCTCATTTCCCTTTTTCTTTCTCCACTCCTTCCACAATAGCTTTTCAACCTTATGTGGCAATGAAAAGTAACATTATCACTGGTACTGGCACTTGCACTAGCACTCGTGCAAGCTTTTTTATTGAATCTGACGTAAAAGTGCGCAGGCATGCTCTTTGGCTCTTTGTTCCGCTGCGACATGTGGCCAATCTCTCCGGCAGACGATCGAGCAATTTCGTTCAAGTTTTCAATACGTATGTCTTTCTAATTAAGTTCGAATCAATGCTATTACTATAAGCTAAGCCATCTCATTGATTGCATGAATGCAAGCAAAGAGATCAATTGGAGGAATAATTTAATCATTCTACCGTTAGAAATGCCGACGGTAAGATGTTAAATCGTGAGTGTTATTCAAACAATGTCTGCGGAGCGCTCAACTACCTGCCTCGCGGAAAATAACAAGACACAAACCCCGTCGGTCAGCGGTGGCGTTGTCTACGATAATGAACAATGTTATACCAGTCTGGAGGACAATAATGAGAATAACCAAGTTTTTTAGGAGGCGGAAAGGCAGCGGAGGGCTATAGAGGAAAAGAGGAAGAGATATATATGTATATATATATATGCATATAACGAACTTACAGACAAGGCTGATTCTCGCCAGGCAGGCGGCAGCAGAGTTCGCAAGCCTTCGTGGGTGGGTCGTCGGGTCCTGGGATGCACTGGCAGGATTCGAGTCCGTAGGCAAGGCAAATACTTCCGGTACACTCCTGCGAACAACAACGAGCCAACATTGTGCGCACGTCAATGTTGAGATTCCATTCACAGCCACTCGCATTTCGAGGCAGACATGCCGTGTTTTCTCTCGCCTAATACATAAATAGGCCTCCGGACGCGCCTTCAGCCTTGCCGCGCGCAGTTTGCTCGGCCAAACAGCCGGCATCGCATCCGCGATATCCGCCGACAGACAGCGCGCGCAACGTTTGCCTTCTCTAACAACGCGCAGCCGGGCTGTGCACCCCTTCGACTCGCGTCGCTGCTTTTTATTCGGTAGCATTTCGAGTGGGTCGAACGATGCACCCGCAATATGCGCCGATAAGAACGAGCGCGAGCGGGAAAAGGCGTCGCGCCCGTCGCATCGGAAGCGGCGCGTGACAAAGCGCAATCACGGCGCGCGCGCCCGCCAAAGGGATAATCTCGCTTAACGAAGATGAGCAGCGCGATGCTCCCGGCGTCGAATATACGTGTAAACTCACCCCCATGAAGCAAACGAGCTCTTGATTGCAGATGGTTTTGTTGGGCTTGTTAATGGAGGGCGGGCAATAGGGCGCCCTGCCGTCGCAAAAACTCGCGTCCCGGCAGCCGTTGTCGTCCCGGCACTTGTCGCCGAATCTCAATCTGCAGTCTCCCGTGCAGCATGGTCCCTGTGGGGGCGAAAGCACACGAGCCTGATTACAATCGCCGCCAACGCGTGCGGCGGCGGCGGTGGCGGCGGCGGCGGCGGCGACGCCGACAACGACGACGACGCGCCGAAAAACCTCGCGTCTCGCTTGCCCGCGTTGCCCTGCTTTTCCCGGCGCCTCTGCCTCTTTCTCCGCGCATTCCCCTTCGCTTCCTTGTTCTGCAATTTCATCGCGCGCGCGTCGCGCCGCCGCCGCCTATAACTTCAAATTTCTACCTGAAATTTCGCCGAACTCGCGGCTTTACATCGACCTCGTTCAACAAATTCCATTCGCAAACTTTCTCTCGGCGAGCGTTATTTATCAAACTTTGTATATATTTCAACGCCGTGCCGCACGCGGCTTGTATTTATTCTGCGAGAAATGAAAGTTAATAAACAATAATGTTGTTTTTATGCGTTGAGAGAGAAAAAAATTATCCTTTCATAATCGTTGAGCTTGTTAATTTTTTAATTTGGTTTTTGTTCTAGTTGAATCTCTGAAAAAGTCAGAGTCGTATTTACAAGAATTATTCGATTGATAACCCGATTAGATTCTGAATCGATGACGAAACGTCTACAAATAGATTGTCGATATGCGCGAATACTGTCGATTGTTACTACAATTTGTACTGGTGCAATAATATCGCGTGAAAAGCGCTCGAAAAGTATGTTGAATACAGGAGCAAATTGGCGGCGTGCAGACGGGCAAATGCGATGGAGAGCAAGCGAGCACGCTGGTGAAATCCGATAAAAATAAGTTGAACGGCAGAATTTGGCCGCGAAGACGTGGACGAGGTTGGGCGTTGGGCAAACGAGGCGGAAAGTCGCACAGCATCGTTGGGCGTGGGTCTCGAGCGAGCCTGTCGTTCGTCGTTCAACTCCATGAAATCAGTCGGCTATTGGCTTCAATTGGCTGGCTGACTCGATGGATAGAACGCAACCTACCTGGCTGGGACTGCAGATGGAGGACGGGGTGAGCGTACAGGGCACCTCATCGGCCGGTGGGTAACGTCGTTGAGGAAAGCAGCACGAATCTCGACAGTCCTCCTCCCAGCCGCAGTCGCACTCTTCGCCCTCCTCCACTACGCCGTTGCCGCACAACGACACCTGCGGCTCTGCAAATCAAACATTTTCCATTTCATATTATATATCACACACAGCCTTCACTACAGTCGATCTCTCTTTTGCCGTGTGCACTACAGCTTTCTCCTTTTCCTTAAGAATGCTTGTAAATTGAAAATATGTCGTATCCACGACAATATGCAGCCACATCTCATCTCACAATGCTAGAGGAAAAAAAGATATTCTAAAGCTCCTCGTGGAAGATGGCGCACTCTTAAATCATTTCGAGAATAAAAATGAAATGTTGAGCTTTCAAATTTAAAATGGAGTATCGTTGTTAAGTCACTCCAAAAAATTCTTATTTTCAGAGGTGACTTATTTCAGGACGACGTTCTTTTCACAAGATTCTGTAGTACTGCATAAAGAGAAGAAAAATAAACATACCATCCCTCGCAATCGCCTGGGTCGAATAATATTGCCCGCGCGAACTTTTCAAACAACAGCAAAAAATGGTATACGAGAATAATTTACTGGGAAATAAGGAGCTGACAAGGGAAAAGAATGCAAAAAGAGTGGTGTGCGTCAATGGGTAATTGAAAAAAAATAACATGAGAGTTGTTGGCAGGTAGAAAGCTGGTGGTCGCAGGTCGCGGGGGCGGGGACACAAAAGAATAATAAGGTAGAGTCGTCGTCGTCGTCGTCGTCTCGTCGAAGAAAAATGTTGACTCGGCGCGAGCGTGCACGTCGCAAAGGTATACATTTTGCCTCTTCTGGCGTCGAATCTCGGCAAGCCATTTGCCATACTGGCGGCGCTGTCACGTTCTAATACGGTTGGTCGTGTGTGCACTGGATCGCAACTCTCTCCCTCCCTCTGCATGCCTTGCAGCTACTCCGTGCGACGCTGCTGCACATGTCGCCAGTCGAATTCCGAAGAAGCCATTCGACGCGAGTACGCGCCGCATCCGATTATTGAAAACGATATATATGTCGTATCAATGACTACGAGAGACTGGCTGTCTCTCTGCCTGCCTGCCTGTCTGCCTGCCTGCCTGCCTGCCTGCCTGCCTGGCAAGCTACGTGCTTCTGGCTTCTTAATCGGTTTCCCCTCTCTACCAAACTCTACTTGCTATCGCTCAAGCAGCTTCATTTAATGCTTTAAACTTATAAGTTATTTTTGACGAATATTTTTGACGTATATTTTTGACGAATCTTATTTTTTGCCAGGATTCTATTTAATAATTTTCCAAATTGATTGAATTTACAAAATATATTCTTGTTGATGGCAAAATATTTTATACGCGTTACCTTGAGATTCTTGTAGGAAAAGATTGGAGTTTCTCGAAGAAATATATTATTCAATTTTTGCTCGACATTTATTTTAACTTCGTAGGTCCAATGACTTCTAGCAGTCAGTCGTAAAAAAGAACACAAGGTATTACATTCGAATCCCGCTTTTTTTCAACATGCTTCGACAGCGATGATTGAGCCGTCTCAAGTAAAATGAAAAATTTCCAACAACTAGCTACTAAAGTACATAAAAGTTTGATGAGAAAAGCTACGTATCAGCTGATTTATGAAATATCTCGTTAAAAAGGTGCAATGTGTGAGTGTGAGGTTATAGGTCGCAAGTAATTTTTCACTCGGACACGGATAATCGAATTTTGAGGCTATAGTTAGACGAACAAAGAGAAAGTAGGAGTGGGTTATAACGGTAGAAATAATTGAGTTAGGTATAACAATGAGGGATCAGATCGGCCGGAGGATATTTGTTGAAATAAAGCTCGCCGTGGCAGTGGCAGTGGCAGTGGCAGTGGCGTGTAACAATAGCGAGGATTGAGAGGCTTGCCGAGAGCTGAGGGCTGAGCAATGCAGTCGGAGGGCTATGAATGGCGTCGGGAGTACTCACCGGTGAAGCAGCCTTTGGGCGAGCGAGCCTTGGTGTTGAGCACGGGGTTGATGGAGTTGAGGCTGCAGGGGCTAAAGCGATTATTGTTGCGCTTGTCGCCGCTGGTCGCCCGAGCAAACATTATGAAATTGCCGTCCTCGCCGCCGGGCGTGCACTGCTCCGGGTCGTGCTGTGTGCATAAGTAGTTGAGCCCGATAAAAAAGCTGTCTGGTGGCGTTCGATAATCCTCGTCTTTGCTCGTATCAGCGCAGCCGGCCAACTCTCTCTCTCTCTCTCTCTCTCTTTCTCCTTTGCCGACCAGAGAAGCAAGCAGAACAAGCGCGCCGTTGTTCTTAACGGGCACTGCCAGAGCTTATTGCCTTTCCTCTTGCTCGGCCAGGATTCGCTCTTACGTACGGTTATTATCCGTGGCGCGCGAGCCCGACTTCGATAAGACAGCCGACGGACTTTACGATTGCCTGGCCGAACGCGCGCTCGTACTACTTAAAGTGGCCCGGCTGCCGGCTATAAAGGCTAGCAGCCTGCGATTGCGCTCGCTCTCATTTTTACGTCGGCTTGCGCTCGGCGCTGTTTTAAGCAATAACCGTGTTCCAGCGCGCCAACAAGAGAGAAAGAGTCGAGTTTGGCTTGTCTACCGATAAAAGATGCATTTTTATGTCTCACCGGCGAACCGAAATTGTGGCCAATCTCGTGAGCAAGCGTCACGTGGGATACCGCCGGTGGCACGTGTTTGCCGTAGTTCAATAAAGTCACTATGCCGGTGTTCAGAGATTTCATGCTGCCTCTGTAATGCTGTAAACAGAAATTACGTGACTTGCTTAGCGGCACAGCTCGCTAGTCGGCATATAGCCCCATTTCAAAATCCACTCAATGCTTAACCGTCCAATTTTCAACTCGCTCTGTGAGCCGACCATTTTTCAACAATTTTTTTATTTCCAGGTATTTTCTTTGACAGCGCTCACGGCGCTCAACGTTTCAATTGCAAAAGTCTTGTCGAAATTTATCGGCTATGCGATAACCCAATTTTTCAGCTTGCTAAAGGCAAGCCTGATTCTTAAACTCCTCGTCCACCAAGCGTAGACGTGAGTCGTGAAAAAAAATGCATACGCTCGTTAGAGACGTGTTTTAATTCAACAAACACGAGCGCGCAGCAGAATCTCGTTAAGCCGCCAATGATAAAATAAATAAACAGTCGAGAGACGCGAACTGCGGAAGCGTCGTAATTAACGAGCATCACACGTTAAATTGAGCGATCGCAAAGCCTCGACTTATGTAAATTCAGCTGGGGGCGACAGCGAAAGAAAAAAGAAAAAAAAAAAAAAAAAAGAGGTCGTTGCACGCGAAAGGGCTTAATTAAGAGCCACAGCGCAAGCAGCAAGCAGCGGCGCGCCGGGGACGAGTGGGCTGCATTGGATTGACGAGTAAGCCGAGCGTGGCCGTGCGATCGAACGGTGGGCATATATTTGCAGCGGCAGCAGCGGCGGTAACAACGTGTAAGCCTCGCGCGCTCGGATGCTTTCTATGGCCCTTTGCTTTCACCTATTCCACTTTACTTCTTTCTTTTCTCTATAAAGCTCTCGATTGCCTTCGCCCCCTTTCTCTTGCCAGCTTCCGCACGCCCGAATTCCGATTGAACGCTGCAACGCCTTTATTCATTTCGCCGTCCCTTTTTCTTCCCTCGCGCTCTTCAAAATGCCCGCTTGAGCTCTCTCTTTTTCTTTTTTTTTATTTTTTGTTTTTTACTTCACTCGCTTGAGCTCTTTATCTCTTTTCCTCGCAGTCGGCTCTTTTTCCGGCGCTTTACTATCGTCTGGCTGGGCTTTATTTTTTTCTCGCAAAAAAGCGCTTACCGATTATCTGCTTGGTTCTAGAATAAAATGTCTTGTTTGTCGTTTATCTCGTGCAGAGCGGGACGCGACTTATTGTTTGAGCATCAGCTAACGAGCACGCGAGAAGAAGGTAAATTGCGCGAGCAAACAAGCCGTTGCAAGGAACAATACAGTATTAATGTAGTTGACGATTGAATTCGTTTGCACAGGTCGTTTAATTTGAAATACAGAGGGCAAATATGAGCAGAATTTGTTGGGGGGTAGGGAGGGAACTGCAGGCGGAGAGCGAACGAGACAGAATACCCCAGAGTATAGGCGAGCAGGCGCGCATCCGCCGAAAGCAGAATCGGGACTCGCTGGGAAATTAGAGAGCAGCCAGCTACAAATCTGACGTTAGCGGCATTACCCGCGGGAGCGGCCGCGCCAGCCAGCGACGCCGGTGAAATGGCATCAGAATTATTACAGACACCAGCGGGACGGCTGCGCCGTTGCTCCGTAATGGCATTCACCAGTCCAATTGTTCCATCGGCAATTGGAAAGGAGATTAAAGAAGGAAAGAACGCATTAAGCTCGGCGCTCGCGAGAGAAAGAATAATCGAGATAAAGCGAGACAAAGAGGACGTACGTACGCGCGGAGGTGCATCCGAGCAAGCAACAAAAGGAGCAGCGCGGCAGGATCAGCGGCACAAAAGAAATCGCGGCCAGATAAAGGCAGAGCGGAAGAAAAGAATGAATGGTCTGGTGGAAAAGATGTGTACTATTTATCAGGCGCGTGCTACTGTTGCCACAAGCGCGGCTGCGGACGTGGCCGCTATTTCCTGCAGTTACCGACTGCGTTTTTCGGCTCACTCCTTTAACCCACTTTCCGACGTTCGCCGTAACGTCGATGCACACCCGCGGTTCGGATCGAGCCCGACTCAATCTCCTTTGCACGAGGACCAGCCGCGAATACAAGAGGCTTACCCCATTCTTCTCGCAGACTCCGCCGGCGTTCTTCAGGTCGCCTGTCCAAGCCAATCCCAGCGTGCCCATCTCAAAGTCCCGGTACGTGAACATGTACGCCAGGCAGAACGCATCGTAGTCTTCCTCTGTGAACAGTAAAAAGTGAGCGGCGATTATTCATTACGCAGCGATCGTTTATGAATAAAGCTTGCTTTTCTTCGCGAGCAACCAAACAAACTTTCGTAAAATGTCGGGGAATATCGAGAAAATTATGACTACAATTGATATCGGCGCGAGTACGTGAGCGGCATTGCTTATAAAATGAAGAGATAAAGCAGTCAGAAAATGTGAATGTATCTCTTGCGTGGCCGAAGAATTGAAAGCATTTACTTTTACGAGAAGGGAGTGGGAGTTTTCAAAATAAAGAGACTACAAAAAGAAGCGACCAAATTTAATGTACAGATTACACGTAGGTGCTGTATTTCATGAATTATAAAGCTCGATATAGGTGTGTGTGCGCGCGCGCGCACATGAGATAAGAGCAAGGGATATACGTCGGTGCGGTTTTTTCCTCTCGGGCGCGCTTTTCTTTCTCGCTAGGGTAGCATAACTCGCTCGATGGGTTGACCGTTGGGCGTAGAAATGGGCGATTAAGTCTCACCGGCGCTCTCGACTCTATGGTCTTGCGGAAAAAGAGCGCCCGCGTAACACTTTACACTAACGAAATCAGCAATAATAGAGTGTGCAGCAGCTGCCCCTAAAAGTCGCCAGTGAAAAATTTATCAAATCGGCCATAAAGATTTTATAGGTCGATCCTCATTAGTTTTTACGGCCTAGACCTGCCGCGAGCCGGCGAGCTCTCGCGCGCTCCGCTCCTCCAGCAGCGGGGGCGCTAAGAGAACAGATAAAAAACCTTAAAATCGCTGTAGCCCCGACAAGTAGGAGAGAGCGCCTATACATACACGGTGGAGCATTCGAGGAGGCGCCGAGGCTTGTGAAAAGTACGTACGTCGGTAATGGCCGCTACACGTACGACCCAGACGTGCGCCGCCGTCGGCGGAATGAATACGCGCCAATATCCCCCTTTCCGCCACTTGCTCCGGCTGCTCACTCGTCCCTATAGATTCCACTTTTTTTCCCCGCTCGCCTCGGCTTTCGTGCTCTTGTCATAAAATTCCATTATCGCAATCATAGCGGGCCGCTATCCCGACACTTAATCCGCCGGAAACGGAATAATCTCATTTCTTTGCGGCCAATCCCGTGCACTTGCCCTCTCTCTCCTTTCTCTCATCTCGTATTTCTGCCAAGAGCCGCCGCCCTCTCCCCCTCGCCCCATCAGCCGTCGCGAAATATTCAAATTTTTCCGATAGCACGCACGACCAAAGCTCGCCAAAGCGATCAGTTGTGAAACGTTGCTAAGTAGGCTTGCAAACGACAGATCGCAATAATAACAGGACAGCACGGAAATGTATACATTTTTTTGCTAGGTTTGGCCGAGCAAGCAGGAAAAATAAGTCACCCCGGGGAAATATCAAAGGACGTTATTCGCCTCGCTCGCTTGCACGCTTGTCCGGTATCGAAGAGATAGCACGAGCAACTTATTCCATTTCAAAGTTTTGTGAACGATGCTGCTGCTGCTTCTGCCGCCACCGCCGCCGCGAGCTTCTGCTTCTGCTCTGGCCCGGTCAGCCGTCAATAATGAGAAATGTTTGCCGCCGGGGAATTCAGCCTCAGCCTCTTTTCCATTTCTTACTTCTGTTTGGCCTGAGCTGTTGTACACACGTGTCGATCCTAATATTGTATGACTTATTCGTCTTCCTCGCTGGCACTCGGTGACGGATTTATCCGGAAAAAAAGCACGTCCGGCGCTTGAGAGTGAGCCTTTCGATAAATCAAAATACAAGTGGGCGCCTGCGCTCAAGTAGAGACAAGCGAGTTCGGTCAGGCGTGCGGCAATAAAAGTTTCCAATATGAAAGTTGAATTTGCGCGTAGTTTTTGGTCGATGCGACGGGGGAATGCTAGAAAAATGCCGCAAGTTTACGACATTCCGCGAGATCCCCAGGGGACTTGTAGCAGCAGCGCCGGGGAACGGGGCGAGCATCGCGTATGCGCGCGTACGTGTATGCGCGTCCGAAGAGCCGTAAATATACATCGGGAGCGAGCCGCGCGCTGTTTGACTCCGCGCTCGCCTTTGTTTCGGCTGCGGCCGGCGGAGAGAAGTTAGCGGTCCAAGACGAGCGTCTTTCCCCACAGCGTTTACAGGCCCGTCGCCACATACAACGGCAGCGAGACGCGGCCCCGCGAGCTCGTGCGCATTCCCATCACGTTCGTAATACAAGCGGGCTTTTCGGCCCTTTGCTCGCGAAGCGTGCTGCTGCCGCCGCAGCCCCTCGCTGGTCTTTCTCTTTCGCGCGGCTTACCTACTCCCAGCAGCGTTGCGGCGCGCGCTTCTGCAATCGAATCGTCCTACCTGAATCGCCACGGCGTCGGCGGCCGAGCGAGCAACTGCACTGGAAAGCAATAAACAGACCGACAGCTCTCGCACGTAAGCAAACAGTCTAGCGAACGATCTATCCATTTGATTTCTCTTACTTTTATTGTACTTTCCGATTGCCCCGGGCACATTGCACCGCGCTGCGTAGCATGTATATTGGATGATACGCTGTTTGCAAAAGCCAATTTCGAGTATCCTCTCTGTGAATATCGCTCGCCTGTGTACGTTGTGTATGTTGCGCGAGAGGGTCAAACATCGGCCAACAACTTGTCGGATATTAAAAAGGGGGACTGGCTGTCGTATATCGATGTTTCTTTGTTAATGATGCGCGTTCGCCGCGCGACAACGGATCATTCTGAAAATCAATCTACCTGTCTGGAGAGGAGACGCGACGGCGGGCGTAATTCACAGCTGCGACGCTCGGCTGTTCGTCGCAACTGGCTTGGAAAATAGTTGTAACGAGGGCTCGCGTAGCCGCGTAAATAATGGCGCCGTCGCGAAGTGACCAAGGTGAGCCGAGGTCCGCTGGGCGCGCGCTGCGAGAGCTTAAAACGAATCTGGAATCTGGCAGTTAATTATGGAGGCGAGGCGTTGCCACGCGCCGCTCTATGTATATTGCGCGGTGGGCCGCAAAGCAAGCTCAAATTTTAGTTGCTTCAACATTAGCGCGCGACTATTTCAACTATTCGAGTTGCGCGCTGCATTCCCAACGCCATTCATAAGCGCCTCTCTCGTTCGTTGTCGGGCTCTACTCACCGGAAAAGAGCTCGAGGTATTTCTCGACGCCATAGTTGCCGGGGAACCTGTAGTTGGGGTCTCGCAGAGCATCGCCGCTGTGCACCTTCACTCGCTTTATCATGAAACTTATATTGTCTGGTCGGCCGTCTTGATTAAAGTCTGAAAAATATAACGAACACATTGCTTTTTATTAGCAGTAGTGAAGCACGCTTGCGCGCGGATTTTCTTTATTGCTACATGGACTGTAATGCTGTTTGTCGGTATAGCGGAAGCGAAATCATTCGACGCTCAGGAGAGGCCAAATACAAAGCGTTTCGTTGATTAAAGCGTAATGGTGCTCGATAAGAAGTTAAAACGCCCGTAGACAGCTTGCGCGCGAGAAATAACGTCTAAAAGGTGTTTCAAAGTCAGATAAAACATAATTGGATTAGTTATCTGCTGCTGCTGCTGCTGCTGCTGCTGCCGGCGCGGCACAACTTTACACTGATTTCCGCGCGACGTAAAATTGATTATCCAGCCAATAATTTGGCCAAGACTTGGTTTTCCCCGTCTTTGGCCTGTTCCTTTTTTCTCTGTGCCACAGTGAAAGCTGCCGAGCACTTAAAAACTTTGAAAAAGCCCCGCCGGCTATATATATATATACACCACATATATTGGGCGAGGAGCCTCAAGCGAGGAAAAGTTTGTAGCTCGCAGCGGGACACGCCGCAGCAGCGGCTCTCTCTCTCTCTCTCTCTCCCTCTCAAATCGGCGGACAGTAAGGCTCGCCGTACGGAGAGTACACACAGGGGGTAGATTGATAAAACACGAAGGAATCGAGCGGCAGAGGGACAGAGGCAAGAGATAAAGCAGTTAGCCGCTGGCCAATGGCGAACGCACCGACGCGATCCTCCTCGGGGACAGGGAGGGGGACAAAACTTAGCTCCACTAATTGCCGCGCTCGGTTTTCCCAACCCCCCGTCGTCGAGCTTTTCCCCGATTAATCCTCTTCCTTCTCTCTCTCTGTCTCTGTCTCTCTCTCTCTCTCTCTCTCTCTCTCCTCTCTCTCTCTCTCTCTCTCTCTCTCTCTCTCTCTCTCTCTCTCTCTCTCTCTCTCCTCTCTCTCTCTCTCTCTCTGTCCACCGCTGGACTCTTTTTCTAATTTTATCATTTCCAGCTACATTCGCTTCTTCGTTGACCGTCTTCTCCATTCCACGCAAGCGCCGTTGGTTTTATCGCCTTGCGCTTCACTGACTTTACGATTGATTTAAAATGCATGACAAAAGAATTGTCCTTGCAAACGTGTCACCCCGTATAATTATTTGTAATATACAACGCGCAACCGTAACCAGAAAGCCGCCGCGAGTTAAAGGTTTATCTGGCAGTGGAGAGCGAGGCTATTCTTGGATGCCGATTAAATAAGCAAAGAAAATTTTCCTCGACAGACGGACAATAGAACAACTTGAACTAACGGATTAACAGAATACTGATGCAATTAGCGATTGCGTTGAGAAAAAGGGTTTGAAATTAGCTTCAGTTGCGATATGATGCCATTCGTAACGTTGGAAAATGAAAAATAGTAGCTCGCTCGGCGGAACGGAGAGCGCCACGAGGAAATTATTATTCCGCCGAGAGTCGAGCAAAGTAACAAAAGCAAGCGAGCGGCAGCTTTTTGCTCAACCGACGCTATTCCGCATCTACATAAAGCCTCAAGCCGATCGCCAGGCAGAGTGCACCTGCGAAATTTCAGGTGTACGCCTTTTCACTTCGTACCTCACGCTCGCGCGAATACGAGAGCGCGCAGTCGAAAAGCAAATTCCGTATTTGCCAGTAGTAGCTTCCGGTTCTTTCGATCTGTCAATCTATCACGATTCGAAACTTCCGTAATCGAATGAAACAGTTGTCGTTCCGCTCTCTTGTCTTTTTTTTTCTTGATGCACGTCGTAAAAATGGAGATCGAACGAGTTTATTACCTAGAGTGCTTTTTCCCTACTAAGTTTTTTTTTTCTGCTCCATGCTCTTTCGTGCCATTGTCGGATATTACGATGCGATTCGCCGTAAATTCCACGACGGTGGAAACATTTTATTTGACAGAATGCCTTCACACGCCGCGTAAATTTCCCACGATTGCTGTTGATTAAGGCACTCAGCGCTTTTGGTTTAAAAGTGAAAGATTTATCTGGCGACGCGCGACACCGGCACTAACTCGAGATTTCAAATGTCGGAAAAAAAATGCGCGAGCGCAAACAGAAAAGAATAATGATGATCGGAGAATATCCGGTTGAAACGATGCCGGGCTTAGTCGATAATTAATTCCTGCAAGTAATTACAACAGAATTGAAATCCAATTATCTGAAACTGAATATTCAACGTGACTGCGGGGGGAAGAGGGTGAAGGAAAGGAGGCAAGGGTAGGACTTTGTCGTCGGATAATAATGCATGATGTTTACGCGGAGTTAGGGAAACACGTAGTTTTGCGAGTCATTGGAAAGTTAGTCCGGCCGTAAGCGCGGCGGAGAGAAGGATCGGAAAGTCGTTAACGACAAAGTGCGAAATGGCTGGCTACAGGAATGGCGGATTTGCATTGGCTAAGTGCGGGCGAGGGGGATGATAAGCGAGAAGAGACTCGTAACGAAGCTAATACCCACCTGTGTGCTTGTAAATGGAGTTGACTTTCTGCACGTGCCTGGTCATAACTTCGATGCAGGCCTCCTCCGTGCCGTATCGCGCGAAGAACTGGTGATCGGCCTGCAGATAGAGCATGCAAGTGGTCTTTCGTGGGTCGACGGTCGCCCGCTTGTGCAGATGCGACACCAAGCGGCCCTGGTACAATCTGTAACAACGACCGCCGTCAACGTGTCACCACCGAACTCCCTCTGATTTTATCGGACCGTGTTTACGCCAGCGGCTTTTCAATTAGCGGATTTTCACACCCGGCTAGAGGGGCAGGGGCGGTGGGAAGCGCGTTATGCATGGTCCTGGATTCTCCACTCGTTAATTTTCGCGTCACTATTTCTTTTTTTCTGCCGGCACGCACGGGCGCCCGGTAGAGGATACCCTACGAGGGAGTTTTGTTTACGAGCGAAGAAAAATTGCTCTCGGACTCTGCGGTTTAAACGCACTAGCAACCCGTTGCGCTCCCACGCCTCTCTGTTTTTTTTTTCTCCTTTTTTTTTTACCGTCCAACTGCTTTCGACTCTCCCTCTTTCTCTCTTTTTCTCCCTCTTTGGCCTGTTTCGTTTAGCCACCCCGGAATAGGAAATCGAGCGTAATTTAACTGTTTGCAAGTTTTCTGTGCTCGTGGCGCCCGTTAATTGGTTTTTATTTTTTCTAAAAAAAGTAAATAAAGAGAGAAAATAAATAAAAGCACTCGACGTGCTCTAACGAATTCGTTGCTTGTTACGACAACATACGTTCGGACGCGCATCCGCGCGCTGTTCATTTTAAAAGCCGAAAAATACAAATTTAAATAACGAACGAAAGATATTTGAGAGAACGTTCAAGCGGAAACAGTTCAAACTGTGTGCGTATTTTCATTACTGATTAATTAAACAAAACACAACAAAAAATTCGAAAGTAAAAAATCAAGCATCGTACCGGTATAGCATTATTTTATAATTATTAATTTATTGAAAAGCTCGCAAGTGGCGCATATTCGTATGAAAAGTTTGTATAACACAAGATTAAAGGAGCCAGAAGTGCAATGAAACAGCTGCACGTCGGAAAGTCAGCTGGCGTGAGTCTGATCGAACGGATACAAATAGTACTTAGAGAGTGGATTGAACTCGCGTAGCAAATGTAGCAGAACGGATACATAGAGATAAGCTGACGAGTATCTTCTGGCTATTACGTACCTGTTGAGATAATCCGTGTAGGTGTCCCTTTTGGGAAGACTGGCGTCGTCGAGCTCGGGCTCCTTGGAGTAGAAGCCGCCGTACAATCGAACCTCGTTGTCCAGCAAATGCTCGTAGAACGGCTGCTGCGCCGTATCGTTTGACGAGCCAAGCCTATTGCGTTTCAAGAGCGAGGGGAAACGTTAGTGTGGAGCCAGGCAGCGGCACAAGAATCGACAAACAAGTTATCTCGATTGGCCGGGCTTGGATAAAGCCCAACGCTGTGGCGCCGTGACACGACGATAACAAAACTCACTCTCAAAGGCATTGCTCTGCTCGATTAACCGCCCTCTCTGCGCAGACCTAATGTTGATGAAACGGCTATACCGATCACCGACCCTACCGTGCCGTTCTCTCTTTCTCTCTTTCTCTTTCGTTAAATCCGTTTTATCTTTCTTAATTGCGCTCAATACTCGAACAATCTATCGATTATCCTCGTACTAATCAAACGATAAAGAATGTACGCGGTGATTTGAAAGGGCGCGCCTCGATCAAAATTGGAAAATTGGGAGATGGGTGGAAGTGGCAGCGTTAATGAGAAACGTTATTGCTGTTGGCGTAAATTCTGGGGCGCGCGATGCGCCGCGAGCCTGCTAATTAATTTTTAGCGAGACGCGGGAAACCAAGTAGCTCGGTAATCACACTATTGCGTATAAAAGCTCGTAATTAATCGATTGAGCGAGCGCGCAGCGGCTCCAATGAAGCGTATTATTAACACGTTTAATTTCATTGGCTTCTCCGCGTCTCACGGCGTACCGAAATAATAAAATTACAGGATAGTACGAAAACAAGCAAACTGATTATTTATCCATTCAAGCTCGATTATCTGAGTGATTTAATAATCATCGTATATTTTTTAGGCTTAAGCTACTTCGCCACAGTAATTTTCTTAATTTTCTTGGCGTCGGCTATTCAAGTACGTTAGGTTTTGTTTTATATTGCAAGCCGTTGTTTCCAAACGCTTCTGTCAAAATTGAACAACCAAATCTATTTGAGCTTCTATAGCTGTTACTTAATTATCGAGCTACTACTAGGTTTCTACAAGTTACTGATTTCTTATTAAACTAAATAAAGTTGAAATAGAGCGTAAGTGTTGAAAACATTTGAAAATTGGAATGTTGAAAGATGCAGACACTACGAGTCGCGTCTATTTGGAGAAAAGTCCGTACGAGCGACATTGAAAGTGGTAATTTCCCTAACACTAAAATAGTCAGAGCGACTTGCCTCCTGAGAGCCTCGTTACGCTTGCCATCCTTGAATTTTTGGCTTGGACAGCGAGTGGGTTGAGGCGGCTTTTCAACGTCACTGGTACGATAAGCGATCGTGTGATATGGCGGCGAGGTATCCTCGTCGGCGGACACATATCTGCTGGCCGGTTCAATGTAGTACTCCTCGAGATTGGTCACCACGCTGCCATCCAGCAGGCCGTCCTCCGTCATGACTCCCTGCACCATGGCGTTCTCGTCCTCTGCAAAAACCAGTCATTAGTCAGGTCGAGCGAGCGAAAGTCCACTCGAACGAGCGTCGCAAGCCGCGTGCACCGTTATACGCGAGAGGGCGAGGGGAGTTACGAGATCAGCTATGCGGCAGTATTTCAGTTTGGGAGCTGGAAATTGATAGCCTCCGCCGAGAGAGCGCGAGGGACAGGGTCGGGGGTATCATTTACGGTTTATCGATAGCGCGGTTCACGTATCTGTTACGCGTATAATACGCGGATCTTCAAAATATAAATTGGACTTTGGATGCGGAAAACCACTTGCTCGCTCGGCCGCGCTTTGCAAAAGCGACAAACAAATCGTTGTGGCTCGACGCTGGATTACAAGAACAGTGGGAAATTGAAATTGAAAAAATAAAAGCAACAGTATTACAGCCACAAATAGCAATTACTTTTGGAAAATTCAATCGTCGGCGTCCACTCGCACGAAGCAAGAAAAGGGCGGACGGCAAAAGGTCGAAGTAGGAAACGAGGAGTGTAATAAAGCGATAACGCAGATAGTACATAATTGGCTCGGGTAAATTCCTTGAGTGGCTTTCGCTAGAGTTCTATGTATACTGCGAGCGAGGCAGGCTCCGCAAAGCAAATCGCGGACTCCGTAATTGCATCGAGGTAACAGAGAGAGAGAGAGAGAGAGAGAGAGAGAGAGTTCGAGCCTGTACCCCATGCTCACATGCTTACAAGCTACACATGCATGTATATCTGTAGCACGAGAGGGAGCATTAGCCCTGCACTAGAATCTCCTTCTTGGCCTTTATCTAGCAAAAATCGTACGGCTCTCTAATCTGCTTAAATAAAGTTTATACCATTTCCATCCTCTAGAGACGAGCTTTTCTTGAACTTATTTCGACCATTCGCTCTATCCCTCTTATGCATCTTAATCCCTAGTCTTGTTCGCTCTCATCTACTTCGCTTAATGCCAAGTCATTTTTAAATATTCTGCAGCTTTATTTGGCTAGCAGCTTATGAATGAGTGACAACAAAAAGAGCTGTGGTATAGTCGTTTAGTTTCATTGCCTGAGCTTGGCTGCTTTTTTCTGTCCTGCCGATAGCCCGACGAAGGTGGCGCTTTGTCTAGTGATGCTGCTGTCCCCGAGGCCCTGGCACGTAATCGATGCTCAGCAGTAGCGTCGCGCTCTCTCTCTCTTTCTCTCTTTCTCTCTATCTGTCTGTCTGTCGTGGCGGCTTGGCATCGACGGTGCTGCAAGTGTTACTGGCTGAATAGACAGACCGAATTGACGCGGCTCTAATTATCCTAGGATATAATGACACTAAGAATTAATACGCGATGCACTTGACTTGAGCCCATTTTGCTATGAAGCAAACCCCCTCAGCGATGAAATGTAGGCGAGCTTTATGCTGCACAGCTCGGCCGCTCGTTCGTCAGTACATATACCGTCGGCGGTTTACGCGCGAAGCTCTTTAGAACGTATATTGAGTACACAGCCTGCGCACAGTGGTATTACGATTAATTTTGCAGGTGAGCGTCACCCAAATATACACACATACACTCACACACAGAGAGATAAGTTAAGCGGTCAACATTTCAACCAGGGGTAGTCGACGATCGGATTTTGCATTTGCCCGGCCGGACGGAGATTTAGCCTAATGGAATAAGTCGGCGGGATTTTGCATCTCTCTCTCTCTCTCTCTCTCTCTCTCTCTCTCTCTCTCTCTCTTTACTCGTCAAAGAGACAAAGATTTATCATTCTTGAGAAATTTTCACGCTCAAACAAACAAATTAATTAACAGCTTGCAATAATCTAGCCTGCGATTAAGTTCAATGTGCAGGTATGAATTTTAATATGAAAAGCACTCAACGTTCTCGCGCTGAAAGTTCATCAAAGAGAGGCGGGATCCGAGAGAGTAGTGCAGCGCGCTTAACGTCGGCGAGAAAAAGAGTCAGCAAAGAGAGAGTAGTGCTAGTCTTCGCGAGTCGAAAATTTTTCATTAGACATATTAGCAGCGAAGCTGCGTGGACGGCTATAAAGCACACGGAAAATCTCGAGCTACCGTTTAAAAATTACATTTTCTCTCTCTCTCTCTCAAAGCTGGAGGCAGATCGCGAAATTAATACGCCTCGAGATTTTTTTGCTGGGCGCATCTGATAATCTCGCGAGGTATGTGCAATGTGCAGTTTTGCCAAGCGCCTGCTATTCCAAGCAAAGACAGAGGAAAAAGAGTACGTCTTGCGAGTAGCGAGCGCAGCTTAATTGGAATCTCCCCTCGAAAAGTTATTTGCGCGATGGAGGAGAGGAGAAAGGGTAGGTTGGCGGACGCTACAATCTCGGTGCACTTTTAACTGAGTTAGCTCCAGGTCCCTTTTGTCTTGCCACTTTGTTCGTGTCTCTCTTTTGGATACATTCATTTTGAGAGCTTGGAGAACAATGTCGGTGCGGAGGATCGTCGTATTTTTTCTTTTCCCTGCCTTCCCTCGGCCGAGGCGATTTTCCATCGAAATTTTAAAATACGTTGCACCCTCCTCAACTCCGAGCGAACCGCTAACGACCGGTATACTTGGTTTACTCGCCGTTCTTCGCAGTAACTTCGCCTCGAGGGGCCATGGAGTTTCATGAACTGATATAGACTCAGCAGACATAAATTCCGCTTGCCGTAACGACGAGCAGCCTCGAATAATTAAAAGGAATTCATTGCCGATGATCAACTGCGTAATAATGACTTGCATTCTTACCGCTGGCGTATATTCCCGGCGCCGTAGCCGCTGCGAGAGCTGAAATATTTACCACGGGGCGAAGACTCAACTGGCTAATAAAATTTTCATCGTCATCCTTTTGCGGACGAGGGTTCAGGTTCTCGGCGAATAATTAATCAGCGACGATGTCGTGCTTTGTAAAAGTCACTCAAGTCAAGTTGCCATGCCCAGAGCTTAGAAGCTGCCTATCCAATGTTTTTGCCGGAACTAAAGGCTTATGCAGTCTTTCCCGGAAAGCGCGAACAAAAAGCTCTGGTTTCGCTCGGATAAACAAAAGCCGCGCGTGCACAAAAAGCCACGAGAAAGAAAATTGAAGGCGATCGCGAGGGACCTTGTTCGTCTTTGCTCTGCTGTCTACGTATCGATATACATGAAAAATACATAGTTTTGAAAGAGAAGAAGAAGAAAGTTCTCGCTGGGCTGTACAATGTCTGTCTATGCTCGTTTTTTTCAGGAAACGAAGCATCGCCCAGGACGTAGCTTTATCAATATCGTGGCGGCGGCGGTGGTGGCCGAGAAAGAGAGAGAGAGAGAGAGAGAGAGAGAGAGAGAGAGAGAGAGAGAGAAGAAATATACATCATCGTAGAGCGGAAAACGAAGAAGAAAAAGTCCGCGTGCGATAAAGCACAGAAAAAAGGAGGAAAGCGCGAGATCGATCTCCTTTGCTCTCTGTATGTATGTTTCTGTAAGCGTGATATACATTGGCCAGATGTGTTAAGGCATTAATGACAGTCCAGAGCTCTATATAGCTGTATATTACGTGCGCCCATGTCTTCGCGAGAGATAACATCGGCAGCTGAATTATCGTTAGATCCACCTTATCAATTACGCCACGCGTGGCTGCTCGTATTTCAAACTGCTAGCTCATAACCTGCACCTAAGACGGCTGATCGCCAGTCTGCCAGCGAGAGAGCAAGAAAGATTGGCTGCCCGTCCTACGTAGATATACGTGTAACCCTACGTGACACGCGCGCTTCCAGAGAATCATTTGTTCGTCCATTTATTCCGCATCATTCTTCGGGCGTTCCGCCAAACTCGCGTTCGCAAATTCAGCGGAAAAAAGGGGCCTGCTTCCGGCGAATATAGATGAGGCTGCTATCCGCGCTGGATAATGCTCGTTTGTTTATGTCTTTTACGTTTTTTTTTATTTGTCCTTGCTTTATTGACGTCCGCGATATACTTGCGACAATTTGCCCGGGAAGAAAAAGAAACGCGTGTCTAATAATAGAGGCACGCGAAAGGGAGGGAGGGAGAGAGAGAGAGACGAAAGACGGGAGAGGGATGAAAGCTACATACAACGACGCTGCGGAGGCAAAATAAAAGAGAGAAAGAGAGCGAGGTCTAATGAAAATATAAACTGCCGTGAAATCTGCACGCGCACTAGCGCACCGACGTTGATTCTTCTTTGTCCGCTTGTACAGGAGGCATTGGCCAGCTGCTGCTGCTGCTGCTGCTGCTTCTCTTTCCACGATTCCTTGCTTCTTTCTCCCCTCTGCGCCTGTCCTTTTTTTCTTTCTTCTTTTTTTGCCACTAAAAATGAGCTCGGATAAGGGTACGCAAACGCGCGTATCGTATCCCGAACTTTATGCATTTCTCCGTAAATTCTCTCTTACGCCTGGAATATGTCTTCCTTTTAGCTTGAAGCACGCTCACTTGAACCTTTTTTGAGCATCGGTGTATATTTTGCTCGTTTTCACTTAGCCCTTCTTGCCACGGCTTTCATTCGCTAATTGTTTTTCCATTTAGCTTCCAGCGGTCCGAAATATACTCAGTGGCTTTCATTAACTCCAAGCCTCTCGACGAAGAAAACGAAAAAAAAAAAACGTAGAAGAAGAAGAAGAAACCTCACTCAGCTTAACTCGACACTCTGGTTATATTGACTCGTGCGTCGAATAATAAAGTCGACGAGAGTGTTGAACACTCAAAAACTTTCCAATTAGATATCCTAGAGCATTTCAGTTGCGGAATGAATCCGAGTCGGCAAAATCTGAATTTTCGAATTGGACCTCTGGTCGATCGGGCTTTTATCTCGACGAGAGTGGCTCTCGGTCCGCGGGCAGGATTGGCTTCGGCACAAAATTACAGGCCATCTCCGATAATTCGATAAAAGCACATGTAACGTTAATAATACGCGACCCAAGCATCGATATGCAGTGAGTCATTTGCCGGGCATGAGCAGTGATAACGACCGAAAGTTTTTATTGGCAGGAGCAACGCCGCTCACGGACGAGCAGATCGAGGATACGGTGAGCGAAACGGG